TCATTTCAAGCATCACTTCGCATCTCTTGGCAGCCGTTCCCTGAGGTCGATCAAGCCCCGGCGCCGTCGGCGCAGCAAACCTCATCGAACATCGCGCGAGGTGGATTTGGCCGGATTCGGACTCGGGTGAGGAACGCGCCTTTTCAATCGGCAGGCTGGTTCGGCGCAAGCTGGCTCAGTGCGCAGAGGCCAGGGCAGGTGCAGGGCGTCAGCGCCGAGAACCTCGAGCCTCGAGGGAGCAGGGGGTGCTGGCAGGCCTAGGATGAGGATCAACTCGGAAGGCGTTCTATTCAGAGTCGGGGGACTTCACTTGAAGGGCGTTCCCCCCCCCCCCTCGGGCCGGGCGAAAGGGGGGGATTGGGAAAGGGGGGGTTACGACATTTGCTGCATGCAGCTGGTTTCGGCCCCACCGAGGAGCCCATTCCTCGATACATGGCCGCCTCCTGGCGCCGGGAGGCGCCGAGAAAATCAGCTAGGTGAGCTGATTCTCAAATCCCCCCTTTGCTATCCCCCCCTTTCGCCCGACCCGACCCCCCCTCGCCACTCTTCCGCCGCCGGAAGGGGCGTGCATGTGTGCCCCGGCGTGCTTGGAGTTCAGAGTTCCATTGGGCACTCGCCACGCGATCCAGTACCTACACCTGTCCTGGTGGTGCGAGGAGGAGGAGGAGGAGGAGGAGGAGGAGGAGGAGGAGGAGGAGAAGGAAGAGGAGGAGGAGGCGGAGTGAAGAGGAGGAGGAGTGAAGAGGAGGAGGAGGATTACCTACACCTGTCCTGGTGGTGTCAGACCCTTTGCCCGAGCACGGCTCATGTGTGCTTCCTTTGCCAGCCCAGCCGTTCGCCGGCTCGGGCCCTGGCCGGGGCTTGGCGCGGGCAGAAGTTGTGTAGGTGGACGGTCGGCGTCTCCTTGCTGGGGCACGTGCAGCCCACGCATGAGCCAGGTTGTAGGGGAAGGAATAATGACATAAGCATAAAAAATCGGAGGTCCGCGCGTACTTCTCGGATCGGCGCTGGACATCCGAGAGATCCGCGCGGACCTCCGAGTTATTGTGTTGATGTGATTCTTCGTTCCCCTAGGTTGGGCCAGGCACATCCCAGCTTCGCATCCACTTGTAGCCCTCGGGTCCACATAGCAAGCCCCTCGGCGATCCAAGCAGAGCCCCATGGAGCCCGTGGCAGGTCACCTGCGCCCTCCGCGCGACGTCCTCTGGCGTCCCCTGGCGCTCTCCAGACGCCCTGCATCGTTGTTCGGAGATTGCGCGCAAGGACAGACACGTGATCCGCAAGAGCAAAAACAAATGCTAGGGGACCGGCATACTTTTCGGCCCCCACGGGGCAGTTTTCGGTCTTTGTCAGAAGCAGGGGGCCCCCCGAGACATCGCGTCGGCAAGGACCAGAAACCTACCCGCAAGGACCGACATGACCGAATTACGATTCCATGGGACAGAGGGAACCTAAGATGATGAGCTACATGTAAAGTCCTTCTCACCGCGACGACAAGGGCCGAACACGTCCCGCAAGGTTCAAAACATTCGGCCCGCCCGCATGGCATCGCCAATGATACCTCGATGGTGATAGTGATGGTGGCAGTGATGGTGATTGTGATGATGGTGATGATGATGATGATGATTCTGATGATTCTGATGATGGTGACGGTGATGGTGATGGTGATGATGATGATGATGATGATGATGATGATGATGATGATGATGATGATGATGTTGAGGAAGAGGATGAGGAATGATGATGAGGATGATGATGATGTTGATGTTGATGATGGTGACGTTGATGATGATTATGATGATGATGATCACGATGCTGATAACATGATGATGGTGAGCATGATGATGATGATGATGATGATGATGATGATGATGATGATGATGATGATTGTGATGATGATGCTGATGATGATTGTGATGGTGATGGTGATGGTTATGATGATGATGCTGCTGCTGATGATGATGATGATGGTGATGATGATGGTGATGGTGATGGTGATGGTGATGATGATGGTGATGATGCTGATGTTGATGCTGATGCTGATGCTGATGATGAGGATTTTGACGCTGATGTTCATGCTGATGCTGATGATGATGAGGAGGAGGATCATGATCACCATGATGACGACGACGACTATAATGTTAGTGAAGGTTGTGCCTCTCTTTCCTTTTTCTGAATTTCTTATCCCTGTGCTCAGCAAGCCCGCACGTTCGTGTGCGGCTGTCCCACCCGCCCGTACGATTGTGCGATTGCCGCCCGCTTCAATGTCCCGCTCACCTGAAAGTCAAGGTCTTCCCGCCCGCCCGCCCGCGTGAAGGACCGACCGTCTCATCCTGCCTGTTACGTAGGGTCCGCCCGCTAGTTGGTGAAATAGCCCGCCTGCTTCCGGGTGACTCCACTCCTCCCCTCTCCCACCTCCGTGTTCCTCGTCTTCCTCCACGTCCACATTACCGCCCACCCTCATCCTGTCTTCTCTTTGTCCTCCTGGTTCCCACTGCCACCTGCTGACTCCTCCTGCCTGCAGTCAAGACCCTAGGATAAGGACCACTGGCCTTACGAGGGGCTTTAGTTCTGTGGCCGCTCCTTCGATACCTAGGTTTGAAACAACGTGTTCTACCGCTGCTGGCCCAAAACCGGGGGGGGAGGTCACTGGGGTTCCCCAACCTGTCCCCCGCCCCCTTCGAAAATCGTGGGGGGTCATTACGGGTTCGAACTCCCCCCCCCCAGTCCATCATGAAAGGGGGGGGGTCACAACCGGTTCGACCCCCCCCCCCCTCGCCGCCGGCAAATGATTCTCGCTCGGGACACTGGGACGGTGGTGGGGACACTGGGACAGTGGTGGGGACGGAGGTGGCGGGGACAGTGGTGTGGGGACAGTGGGACAGTGGGACAGTGGTGGGGACAGTGGGACAGTGGTGGGGACGATGGTGGCGGGGACAGTGGTGAGGGGACAGCGGGACAGTGGTGGGGACAGTGGGGACAGTGGGACAGTGGTGGGGACGGTGGTGGTGGGGACAGTGGTGAGGGCGGTGGTGAGGACGGTGGTAGGACAATGGGACAGTCGTATAGTGGGGAGAGTGATGGGGACAGTGGGGACAGTGGGACAGCGGTGGGGACAGCGGTGACAGTTGGGGCAGCACAGTGGAACAGCGGTGGGGACAGTGGGGACAGTGGTGGGGACAGTGGGGACAGTGGGACAGTGGTGGGGACAGCGGGGCACAGTGGGGAGAGTGGGACCGTGGTGGGAACAGTTTTTGGGACAGTGGGGACAGTGAAACAGTGGTGGGGGCACTGGTGGGGGCAGTGGGGACGGTGGGGGGAACAGTGGGGACAGTGGTGGTGGGGACGGTGGTGCTGGGATGGTGGTGCTGGGGACAGCAGTGAGGGCGGTGGTGAAGATGTTGGTGGGGACCCAGGAGTCGTTTGCTGGCGGTGATTGTGGGGGGGGGTTCGAACCGGTAGTGACCCCCCCCCGGGTTTTTTGGAGGGGTGGGGAGGGGTTAGGGGGGGGGGCCAGGAGAAGGGAAGGGGGGTTGGAGGGAAGGGGGGGGTAATTCGAGCAGAGGGGGGGGGGGACTTCTGGAGGGGGGGGGGGAGATCCCCGGGTTCTGGAGGAAGAGGGGGGTAAAGTTCACAGTGAAATTGCGGTGGATCACGCTCTCTCCTAGGTTTTGGAAGCCCCTTCTTGGCCGAGAGGCGCCGTGACCAGGGACGTGTGCATTTGTTCTCGGCGAGGACCATCGAGGAGCATCCTGGATCATCTTGCAAGAAAAAGCACCCAAGAAACCGCCGAAACATGCTCGGGGAGTGGACGTCCGAGCGACGGCGAGATGACTGTGTTCATTCTTCTCTGCCCCATCCTGCCTCTTTCCTCCTTCCTAGACGTCCAGCGTCCGGTTGATTCACAACGCGGCTCCCCGGAGGTCTGGACCCCGTCCAGGGCGGCCTGTTCCCGATCTGGGCACCCCCCGAGCGCTCTCGACGAGGCGCAGCTGCTGGAGAGCACCCCGATGCTGGGAAAGCGCAGGGGCTCGCCGAAGCGTGCCCCTTCCTGCGCGCGCCTTTCTTTCTTTCTCTCTCTCTCTCTCTCTCTTTTTTTTTTTTTTTTCTCTCTCTCTCTCTCTCTCTCTCTCTCTCTCTCTATCCGCCTCCCCACGCCCCTCCCCCTGGGCCCCCGAGGGCAGGCGTGTGGCCACGGGCCCGCGCTCGCGTCCACCCTCCTGCTCTCTCCTCTGGTTCCTCCCCTGCCCTCCCCTGCCTCCTCGTGCCTCCTCCTGCCCGCCCCGCCTCCTCGCCAGAAACAGGGGGGGGGGGGGGAAATTTCTTCCTCCTCCTCCTCCTCCTCCTCCTCCTCCTCCTCCTCCTCCTCCTCCTCCTCCTCCTCTCCTCCTCCCCCCCCTGCTCCTCCCTCCTCCTCCTCCCTCCTCCTCCTCCTCCTCCTCCTCCTCCTTTTTTCCTCCCCTCCTCCTCCTCCTCCTCCTCCTTCTCCTCCTCCTCCTCCTCCTCCTCCTCCTCCTCCTCCTCCTCCTCCTCCTCCTCCTCCTCCTCCTCTGGTTCCACTTCGCCGCAGCACGGAGTTCCCGGAAGTCCCGACCCTTTCCTTGGGAGGGGTTTTCCTTTTAGTTTTTCGACGGTCCTGGGCCTGGTAGGGGCCCCCAGAGGCCCAAAAACGGCAAGTGAAACTTCCCGTCCTGTTTTTTAATGGCGCGCGCATGTCTGGGCCTTTGCCTCCTCGGCCGACCGCGTCCCCACAGGGTGTGCGGAGAGTGCGCGCGAGCATGTCTGGGCTGCCGCCCCTGAGATCCGACGTTGAGGAAGAACACAGCATCGCAGAAAGTCACGACCAGAGCCTCGGACCCCGTCTTTCCGCGTCATTTTCCGAGCCAGATCCATCCGTGAGGCTCTCGGGGCCCGAACTGGAGCGGAAACGCCCGTTGCAAGAAAAATTAATAGCAACGCCAGGATCTCAGGGCCCTCTTGGCCCCCATCTCGCCCCCCAGAGGCCGGGCGTGCGGCTACGGGCCCGCGTTCGCGGTCCGCGGGCAGAAGGCCACCGGCGCCGCCCTGGCGGTGCACGGCCGAGCCGCAGCCTCGCAGGGAGGCGCCCGCCGCGGGGGGGGGGGCAGGCGGCAGGCGGCAGATGCGTCACCGGCCTCGAACTTGTCCTTATCCCTAAGATCGACACGCTACAAGGAGATGCCAATCTTAGGGATGCACCCTCAGAAACTGGGGAAATCCCTAAGATCGCCATCCTGACGAGGCGATGCCCAACACAGGGATGGGGATGTGTTCCAGGCTGGTAAGTGCGGGGCGCCCAGCGGGCACGCAGCGGCGGGGCTTGGCACCGCTCGGGCGTGTGCAGGCTGTTCTCGGCGGGGACCATCGAGGAGCATGTTGGGTCCTGCTGCGAGAGGCCAAGCACCCTGCTCGCCCTCAGTCAGGAGGGGAAGAAACACACAGACACAATTAATCGTCGATCCCCAAGAAAATATGGGAACATATGGGAATTGGGCGGGAAGACAAAAACCTAGAAAATATGGGAGAATATGGGGAATCAATTTATTTGTGTGTATTTATTTGTGTGTCCTTGGGCCCCTCGACTCAGGGTGCCACGGGTTTCTAGGGTTTCGAGGCTTTTGCGGCGGAAAGCGCGACGCTCCCGCACAAAAGCTCCATGGACGCCCCGGGGTCTCTCAGGGTTGGGTTTCTTGTGGGAGGTTTCGTGCGGTCGGCCCCCACTGTGCCCGCACGAGGCCGAAACATGTACGGGGTGGGTCAGAGCCCCGAATCATCAGGGGTAACTCGGGTCAGGGATAACTCGGGTTCGTTTTTCGGGATTCCGAACCCGAGTTACCCCGGACCCGACTTACCCCGGATAGTTCGGGCGTCGAGAGCCCCGAATCATCAGGGGTAACTCGGGTCAGGGCTTACTCGGGTTGGTTTTTCCGGGATTCCGAACCCGACTTACCCCGGACCCGAGTTACCCCGGATAGTTCGGGCGCCCAAGTGGGTGGGGGGCGTCCGAGCGATGGCGAGTGGGGGCGCGCCCAGAAGGCCACGTGAGGGGATCGAAGGCTTGGAGGCGCCAGGCGTTCGGGCGCCCTCGGCGGTTCTCGGCGGGTCTCCCGCCTCGGGATTCCTCTTCACCGGCACTCCAGTCTCGGCCTCGTCGAGGGCACTCCAGGAGTCTCAGAATTCAGGAGGAAAAGAAACACACAGACACAATTAATCCTCGATCCCCCCAGAAAATATGGGAAAATACGGGAAGTGGTGGGGAAGACAAAAACCCAGAAAATATAGGAAAATATGGGGAATAGTTTTATTTGTGTGTATTTATTTGTGTGTCCCAGGGCCCCTTCAAGAATATTGTCCTGGACGGCCGCCAGACCTCCAACGTATTGAAGAAGTCAGGACGGAGGGTTTTGACATTCTCCAGCCTCGCACGGGGGCCCTCGCCAGGCCCCAGGACGGTCAAGGAGAGAATCGGGATGCAAATCAGGACGGAGGGTTTTGACATTCTCCAGCCTCGCATGGGGGCCCTCGCCAGGCCCCAGGACGGTCAAGGAGAAACTCGGGATGCAAAACAGGCCCTGGGGATAGAGGCGGGACGTTTGGGGACCGCGAGTTGAAAAAAATGAAGACATCGGATGTCTGGAGGCCTAGAAGTTGGCGCCCAAATCCATACCCGACATCGATGGTTGCCTCCACCGAGGGAAGATGATGACCGAGGACGAAGCAACTATGGATATTTATGTAAAGGAGGTCCGCGCGGATTCTTGGAGCTGCGCTCGACCCCGAGGGCGCCAGCACCGATCCAATAAATCAGCGCGCACCTCCGAAGTGTATGTTTATGCCGCTCTGTATTTGTCTAGATAACAATAAGCCCGACCTCCGCAATGTTTGTAAACGTCGGGCTTCTCAGGTTGCCGGAATAGTGCCATAAGCACCAAAAACACTGGGATCACCTTTTGTTTATTTCCTTGATGGAGGCAACCCCACTGTATCAGTGTTGGTGCAGTTTTCCAAGCCTCCGAAAGTCGTCACCCAGAGCGGCCGGTACGCTTCCTTTGCAGCCAGTGCTTCGTGGCTTTATACCACTGAGGCGGACGCACGACCCTCCGGCAGCGCGCAGGGACGTGGCGGGGAGGCGGCGGGAAGAAGCGCGGCCTGCGCGCCTGCGGGCAGCGGCACAGGATGGCGACAGGAGAGCGCCACTCGCCCGTGTCGATCCGAGCCCAGGGCAAGGACGCGCACAGAAGCATCGATCTTCTAATCCTAGCCTCGACCTTTGAGCCTCGATATTCCTCCTCGGCTTCTTTCGCTCCTCCTCCTCCTCCTCATCATCATCCTCATCATCATCATCATCATCATCATCATCATCATCCATTCGGTTTTCCAGGGAGGGTCGGAGCCGATGCTCTGGGGAAGTTGGCTCCTGCTAGAACTCGGAGAGCCGGGTTGACCGAGCTTTTTCTGATCGAGTGTGAGAGGGGTGGGGCGCGGCCCCTGGGCTCCTGGTCGCCACCCCAGGGTGCAAAGAGGGCGGCCCCGCTCCTCGTCCGACCGGCACACCACTTCAATCGTCCCCTTTCCTTTCTACAATTACACAATATGAAAATACTCTCCCACTTCCCCTGATGGCGTCCCGAAGATATCCGACACCCCCCCGCGTATTGTTTTTTACACACAGGATCCCCAGGAAACGGGTTTTCGCTTATGTTTTTTGTTTTTCTCAAAATGCTGCTCTCGCTGAGGCGCCGGCTTCATTTCTGCTCCCGAATCGTTCCGAATCGTGCTCCCGCTGCAGCGTGGGCCTCATTTTCGGATCGGTGTTTGGCCTCCGTCGTTCAGGATGGCGTTCTCGCCCCAGCGCGGGCCTCTTTCTCGCGCGCCCATCCGCCCGCCACCACCGCGCCGCACCACCACCACACCACCACCACCACCACCACCACCACCACCACCACACCACCACACCACCACACCACCACCACCACCACCACCACCACCACCACCACCACCACCACCACCACCACACCACCACCACACGCACGCACGCACGCACGCACGCACGCACGCGCACCACCACCCACTACGCACGCGCGCGCGGAGCCACAAGTCCGCTACGACACGCGTCCGCGGATAGAGAAAATCAGCGCCATGGTAAGGGATGGGAGGGAGGGGTAGGACGTCAGATATGACGCGAGCGCACCTAGCTTGCCCCTCCTCCTCCTCCTCCTCCTCCTCCTCCTCCTCCTCCTGCATCCCCTCCCTCTCTCCTCTTCCTCCTCCTCTTCTTTCTCACGCTCCCTCTCTCCTCTTCCTCCTCCGCCTCCTCCTCCTCCCTCCTCCCTCCTCCTCCTCCTCCTCCTCCTCCTCCTCTTCCTCCTCTTCTCCTCCTCCTCAGGTTCTCCTACTCCTCCTCCCCTCCCTCCTCCTCCTCCTCCTCCCTCCTCCTCCTCCTCCTCTTCCTCTTCCTCCTCCTCTCTTTGAGTACGTGCACTCCTCCTCCTCCTCCTCCTCCTCCTCCTCCTCCTTCCTTCCTTCCTCGGTCGAGCCCTCCGAAGCCCTCACGATCCCCGCTGGGGCGCTCCCTGCAGCCGAGCTGCCTCTCGGGCGAGAGAGGCGGCGGAGCGGCGACAAAGCGATGGAGCCACCTGCACTCCGACGTTTCGGGGAACCGTAAGACTCGAGTAAGCCGGGACTCGGGCTTGCGGACGTTTCTTGACGAGCGCGTCGTGGATGCTGACGGTCTGCAGCGGGAGCTCGCGCCAAGTTCCAGGTGGGATCTCGCCAGTTTCTATGATGGCATGATGGCCCAGTCGGGCCAACCCGAGTGGCCCGTACCCGAGCCCTACGTCTCCCCGAACGTTGTGCCTCCTCCCCCCCAGGTGGAGGCGGCCCTTCTCCTCCTCCTCCTCCTCCTCCTCCTCCTCCTCCTCTCCTCCTCCTCCTCTCCTCCTCCTCCTCCTTCCTCCCTCCCCTCCTCCCTCCTCCTCTCCTCCTCTCTCCTCCTCCCTCTCCTCCTCCTCTCTCCTCCTCCCTCTCTCCTCCTCTCTCCTCCTCCTCCTCCTCCTCCCCCTCCTCCTCCCCTCCTCCTCCTCCCCTTCCTCCTCCTCCTCCTCCTCCTCCTCCTCCTCCTCCCCCCTCCTCCTCCTCCTCCTCCTCCTCCTCCTCCTCCTCCTCCTCCTCCTCCTCTCCTCCTCTCCTTGCTCCTCCTCCCCCTCCGTCGGGCTGGCCGCTCGGCGGTTCCGCAGCGCCGCGGCGCCACCCGCCGCGCTCGGCGCCGCCTCCGCGCCGTGCCGCGCGGCGCGCGCTCCGCGGCGCCAGGGCGGCCGCCTCGGCCGCGCTTCCCTGCCGTGCAGCGCGCTCCGGTTGAAGGAGCAAAGTTTGCATCAGCAGCGCGCCGACGAGGAGGAGGAGGAGGAGGAGGAGGAGGAGGAGGAGGAGGGGAGGGAGGAGGAGGGAGGAGGAGGAGGAGGAGGAGGAGGGAGGAGGAGGAGGAGGAGAGGAGGAGGAAGAGGAGGGAGTGAGGAGGAGGAGGAGGAGGGAGGAGGAGAAGGAAGGGAGGAGGAATGGAGAGGAGGAGGAGGAGGAAGGAAGGAGGAGGAGGAGGAGTGAGGGAGGAGGAGGAGGAGGAGGAGGAGAGAGAGGAGGAGAGGAGGAGGAGAGAGGAGGAGGAGAGGAGGAGGAGAGGAGGAGGAGGGAAGGGGAGGAGGAGGAAGGGGAGGAGGAGGGAGGAGGAGGAGGAGGAGGAGGAGAGGAGAGGAGGAGGGAGGAGGAGGAGGAGGAGGGAGGAGGAGGAGGAGGGAGAGGAGGAAGGAGGAGGAGGAAGGAGGAGGGCCGGGCCGCCTCCACCTGGGGGGGTGCGGGGGGGTGTATTCGAAGCGGTCCCCCAACTCTTGAGGTGCTACGCGCGTTTTCCTGCAACGCTCGCTCCTGCCGCTGCGCGCCCCGGATTTGTTTTTGCGTCGTGTCGGGCCACAGACACGGGGAGTCGGAACAGAATCGGATCGGCCGCGCCAGGATGCACAACAGCGCCGTGCGAAGACCGGGCCGCGTCATTCCGCCGGAGCGTCGGAATCGAATGGGGTCGGAGCTCCTCCCTAGGCGCCTCCTGACGTGCAGCGTGCTCGCTCTGCCGCTGCGCGTCCCGCCCTCGTTCGGCATGATACAACCCCCAACCCGAATCACACAATGAGTTCTCGAATCTTCGCGTATTCCCGCCGACCCAACCAGAAACAACGGTGAACACATGCGTTGAATCATATAAAACATGTTCCCTGGTTGTCCCAGCTTTGTTTGGTTGTTATGCGATGATTTCTGGGAGTTATCTTGCATTTCTCTTCGGCGTAAATGGTTCTCGGGCATTTGATTTGTATTGCGTCCAGGACCAGTAGGAACGATTCGCAGCCGAGCTGCCCGAATCAGAGAATTTTAGAATCTTCCTGTTTGTTGAGCGTTGAGGCTCAAGGCCACAGAACCAGCACGAGAGGGGGGTCTCTGCAGGGTCGTTGAGGAGGGGGACCCTGCAAAGCCCTTGCAAAGTGGGCGTATTTGAGGCCTCTCGGGGGGATCTTGGGCCCCATCGCTCAAAAAGGCGGGGATCGGACATTCAGCCCCCCCCCCTCGCAGGCTCAACAAGGGCGTATTGAGGCTCTCTTGCAACGCTCTGAGAGCGCTGATGGGCGCTCTTTGGGCCCTCTTTGGCCCTTTGGGGTCCCTCTTGGGGCTCTCGTGGGCCGTCTTGGGGCCATGCGGCCCCAAAAGCCCGTCAGAAGCGAACAGTCGAGAAGGCAACACACATTGATTTCCAATGGGTTTTGGAAGGGTGTTCGCTTTTTTTGGGGGTGCTCTGAAAGGCTCAGGGTGCACTTGGAACTGTCCGGGGGCCGTCTTGAGGCCTCTTGCAGGCATGTCGGAGGCCATCTTGACACATCTTGAAGCATATTTGGCCATCGGCCATCTTGGAGGCCATCTTGGGCTCTCAGAGCCCCTCTTGGAGCCATCTTGGACCGCAAAGCACCCTCTGGCACCTCGCGGGGCGCCCCGTCCACGCCCAGTGAAGGGGGTAAGGGGAGGGGGAACCCTTTTCCCCGAGCAAGGGCAGGACGGATCTCTTGCAGAGAGGAGACGCGACTCCTTAAACCAATTATGCCCAGAGGGCTGGTGGGACTCGTTGCCTAGCTCTGGTCCCCTCCCTCATGTGTGTTGGCCTTTCTGACTCAGGTCCCTCCCAAAGGGTTAGGGACACTTTTGTTTCTCACCACGCTCCCTCCGAGACTCGGAGAAGAACGAACTGCATACATTCTATGTTGGAGCTCCGCGCGGATTTCCTAGAGCTGCGCTGGGCCCCCCTGGCGGCGCCTCCTGCGCCGCTCCTGGCGCGCCCCGCGCGACAGGGAGGGGGTTCAGGAGTAGATCCAAGAAGCCCGCGCGGACCTCCAAGAGTTTATGTTTATACAACTGTTTGTTCCTCCTTCGAGGAAGGAGCTTCTCCACAGCCACCGCTCAGGGGATCGAGCTTCGGAGGCCTCGGCGGATACGGACATACTCGACCCCCCCGTGGGGACAAACAATACTTCCGGGCTGCTGAACTAGGGAACCCCAGATCAGGAACGAGGCCCCTTGCGGCACCAAAAACGCCTGGGTGCATGAGGAGTGCTGGAGGAATAACCACGGAATTACCCCAAGGAGTAGCGAGCCCTTGCCGAACCCAAGGCGGTCTTTCTGTCAGCGTCTTGACTGTATGGCTCATACAGTCGGACCGAGGCATAGAGATCGAGGTCGGTTCTGGGAGGGTACTCTAATGTCCTTCGTGCTTGCCGGATGTTCTTCTGCATCCTCGGGGGAGGGCACCCTGGACTGCTCTTCGGTTTGGGCCAGCGGAGGGTCTCGCGTTGCTTCAGGCGATCGCAAACGTCGATCAAGGGGGGCGTGGACTAGTGACGGGTCCCGTTTCCATGGGAAGTCGTGGATTTCCGCCGCCGAGCGAGGCGGCCCCGGCCGCATTTTGGGGAGGGCACGTCCCCCGATCCATGGATTTGGCGACCGCGCGCCAAGTCCATGGATCGCTGATCCACGCCTGCGCGCCCCCGGTTCTTGCAGGGCGCTCTTCCGTCCCGGGTCCGACTGTATGCACCGCCCGCTGGGGGGGCGCCAGGACGTCGGCCCCCCCAGGCCGCGGATCTGGCGACTCCGGGGCGGGCGGCAGCCCGCGGGCGACTCCGAGGCGGGGCAGAAGCGCAGGCGCAGGGCGCGCGCAGGCGTGCCGACGACGGGCGAAGTGCGCCGGTGGAAGACGGCCGTGGCGTGCCCGGGCGCCCGCGGCTTGTGCCCCACCACCCGCCCAACCACCCCAAGCCAACCCGAAGGCTCAAATTTACCCTTGAGTTCCAGTGGGGGGGGTCAGGAAACATGGGAAACACACATATGGAACCCTTGCCCCCCCCAACCCGACATTCGGGTCTTCGGGTTGGGTTGGGGTGGTCTGGTAGGTAGTCAGTGCCCCCCTGAGATCTGAGCTCCTGGCGCAGCGATGTTTTGTCACACTGGGCGCTTTCGCCCAGCTTCGGGCCCCCGGGGCGCTCACAGACGGATCGGGCTCGCAAAGTGGCGCAGAGAGATAGGGTCCGGGGCTCTCCGGTCGCGATTTCCTGCGATGTCGTACATTTTGTTGCAACGTCGGGTCGCAGGGTCTGAGTGGGTACCCAGACGCGCTCACGCCGTGACAGAAATCCGAGGCGGGAGGTTTCGAGTCTTCCTCGGCCTCTGGGGGGGGGCCTTCTACCCGGCCCCCTAGCTGGAGCCGTCAAAGAGCGGCTCGGTAGGCGAAAGATTGGTCCCAGGCAAAGGGTCGGGACTTACGGGACCGCGTATTGGCAAACTCGGGGTCTCGCTTGTCTGGGTACGGATGTGCAGATGGGGCGCCCAGTGGAACGGACCAAGCTGGAGCCCCAGCTATGGGGAGCGACCAGCAGGGGGGGATGACAAGGCGGGGGGGGGTTACCAGCCTGGAACAGATCCCAATCCCTATGCTGGGCACCTCCTCATCACGATGCCACTCTCAGGGATTCCCTTATTTTTTGAGGGCGAATCCTTAAGATTGTCATCGCCTTGTGGCGTGTCAATCTTAGGGATAGGATAGGGATACGTTCGAGGCTGGTAAGGGGGGAGATCACGGCTGGGGCCATGATACTTCCCCAGATTTCATGGCGCCCTGTCCTGTGTCAGTGCGTCCCCTGGGCCGCGCACATGCCTCGGGCCGTGGTTTGCTACCCCCCTCCTCTTGGACGCCCCCCTCCTGAACGCCCCTTACAGTCTGGGCGCTGAAGAAGAAACTCTTTTCGTTGGGGAGGGGCTCGGTGTTTCTGGATTGTTTTGCAGTTTGCCTTGGGTTTTCCTCAGGTTTTCCCATGGGAAATTCGAAGCTTACCTTATGGGAGAAGGGGGCCTCGTTCCCTACTTAGGGTTCCTTAGGTCAACGCCCCGACTGTACCCTCTTGTGCGCGTCGCCAGCCATGTCCTCGAAGGCGGCCCCGAGTCCACCATCGCGGCACAAGTGCGGCGAGGAAGCGGCTTGATCACGAGATTAGGGTCCGAGAGTTCTGCTACGGCCACGTTGGACCAAGGACAGAAATGGTTCCGCCTCTCCGCGCTCCTCCAGTGGCTCTGGAGCGGGCGATAGTGGAGCCACACCTGCGGGAGTTGGCAGCGGTTGTCTGCAGTCCGCACGAGATGACCTTGTACCCCCAGCCCGTGCCCCTGCCTTCCCTGTCATGTTCGCGTGGTGAAGCAATCACGACGGGGCGATGTTTGCAACGTTCGGCCTTCGGTGGCTTGTGCCGGGCCAAGGGGCCGTCGAGTCACGACTCGCGAGGAGAAGACGGCCCGGGGGGAAGGGTGGTGGCCCCAGAATTTTCGAAGATTCAGGAGGGGAAAAAACACACACACAGACACACTTAATCGTCGATCCCAAGGAAAATGTGGAAACATCTGGAAAGTGGGGGGGAAGACGAAAACCCAGAAAATCATTGGAACATATGGTGAATCTTGTTATTTGTGTCTATTTATTTGTGTGTCCCAGGGCCCCTTCAACAATTTCGCAGGCATCAGATGTCTGCGCCTGGGGCTTTGGGCCAGAGGAGCCAGAGATACCGATGCCGCCGCTCGTCCCCGAGAGTCCTCGTCGCCCCGGCCAGGTTCTCCGCGCTCCGGCGAGCAGCGGTGTCGGAATCTACTGCTTCCCCAAGTAGCCGCGGTGCTTCTCAGCTGGATTTTATCCCGTGCAGCTCGCCTCTGCACGCCGGGTCCGCTTCTCTCCCTCGCCCACGCGTGCCCCAATCTTCATCCGAGCTCCGGCGAGTAGCAGTGTCGGAATCTACTGCTTCCCCAAGTAGCCGCGGTGCTTCCCGGCTGGATTTTACCCCGTGCAGCTCGCCTCTGCACGCCGGGTCCGCTCCTCTCCCTCGCCCACGCGTGCCCCGATCTTCGTCCCTCTCGAGGCGAATTGCCTGCTCTGACTCGCGCGATGCCGAAACTCTCGGCTCCAGCGAATCTGGGCCGCTCAGACATCTTGGTTCTTGGCCCCAAAGCATTGTTTGGTGTACGTTGTAAAAGCAGACCTCGGTCGGACGGGGCCAGGACGAGGATAGTTCCGCCCCGGAGCGATCCAGAACGCTCCCAGAGCGTTCTGGAACGCTTTGGGAAGGCCGTGGCGCCCGAGGCATCCTCCAGAGCCGCTGGATCTCGCCCGATGTTGTCCTCGCCCCCCCGATGCTGTCCTCGTCCCAGCCTCGTCCTAGCTTTGGTCCCTCGGCCCCCCTCGGCGCGAGGCGCCTCGGGCGCAGGCGAACTGGCCCCGGGCGCGGCGGTGGTGCTGCTGAGCGCCTGCCGGCCTGGGCAGGCAGCCCAGCCGGAGCGGAGCGCTCGCCGCCGCCGCCGCTCGCCGTCGTCGTCGTCGTCGTCATCGTCGTCGTCGTCGTCATCGTCGTCGTCGTCGTCGTCGTCGTCGTCGTCGTCGTCGTCGTCGTCGTGGTCGTCGTCGTGGTCGTCGTCGTCGTCGTCGTCGTCGTCGTCGTTGGCCAGACTCTGAGCGACGGAGCTCGCAGCGCTTTCGTCGTCGCCCTTTAAGACGACGCGAAGATCGGGACAAAATCGGATCGGGATAACTCGAAATCTCTGAGAATCGGCGGGTTTGGAGGATGTATTGGGGGCCGCGGCCGCTCCAGAGCGTTCCGGAACGCTCTGAGAGCGCTCTGGAACGCCCTGGAGCGATTTATCCCGATCCTAGCCCTGTTTTACCCCCCGCGTCGCGGCGCGGGCGCGGAGCGGGGGGGGGGAGCAGCAGCAGAGGGGGGGAGCAGGCGGGAAAACGGGGGAGAGGGCGGCAGCGCTGGGGGGGCACACTGCGCGCGGGGGGGGGGGCAGAGAGGGAAGGCCGCAGGGAGGGGCAGAGGGGAGCAAGAGCCGAAGGGAGGGGCAGAGAGGGCGGAGCAAGAGCGCTTGGGGTTAAGGGGATTGGTGAGTCGCGTCGAGAAGCTAGACGCCCTCTGGCGCGTGGGCGGCGGAGATGTTCAACAGTTAGGGCAGGCCGAGGAGTCGAAGTGTGCCTGCCAGTGAGGGGAGCGAGGAAAGCATCACGCGCGTGTCACAGAACGCGTCGTCGTGGGCATGGGGAGACGGGTCAGAATGACATGGGACAAGGACGAACGTGATGGGCGAACGATTGGCAGGGGGGGTGGAGGAGAAGAGGATGAGCACGAGGGAGGATTTCGATCCGCCGGGGACGCGTTCCAGCTAGGATCAGGATGAGGATAGCGTGGCCTCAGTATCACCGGTGCATGCGTGGGAGTAGGAGTAGGAGGAGGAGGAGGAGGAGGAGGAGGAGGAGGCGGAGGAGGAGGAGGAGGAGGATCAGGAGGAGGAGGCGGAGGAGGAGGATGAGGAGGAGGAGGAGCGGGATGGAGAGAGAGGGGAGTGGGAGGGAGATGGGGAGGAGGTGAGGCAGAAGGGTGATGAAGAGGATGAGGACGAGGTGGATCTGAAGGGCTGGCGAGGGAGGGCAACGTGACGGGGGCAGGAATAGCAAGGATGACGAGCAGGATGAGGGCGAGGCCCCCCCCTACTTCTCCCCCCCCATCCTCGATTGGATTTCCTCTTGCTCGATGCGCGGCTGCTCCAGCCAGGCCGCGCAGGCCCGCGCCCGAGAGCGAGCGCAGAGGTCGGGGCGCGAGCCCGGCGAGGCGGGTCGGCCCCTTTGGGGACCGCTGGGAGCGTCTTGCGGCGATCTCGGGCGCCTCTTGGGGCCGTCTTGGACTCGGCGGTGAGCCCGGGGGGGAAGTGAGGAAGAGGCGGGCCTTCTCGGAAAGTTCGCACGCCCCCCGGCCTTCTGGGAGATGTTCTGAGCCTTCCGCGAAGGCATGGAGCACTTCTCGGAGGGCGCGAGGGCTTCTGAGAAGCCCCGCCGCCTTCTGAGAAAGCCTCCTCCCTCTCACTTCCCCCCCTCGCTCGCCGCCGAGTCTTGGACGGCCCGGAGACCGAAACAGGCGAGCACTTGCGGCTTCTTGGGCCAGCCAGCCCCCCACGGCCCCCCCTGCATCCTGGGCCGCGCTGGACAATTATGTGCAATCCAGATCAGGCTCGCGCGGCGTTGAGAATCGGCACGCGACAAGCCCAGGGAGCGCCCAAGAGCGCCCAGGCTGCATGAGGCTCGGGGCCCCTTCACACGCAGTTGATTCACTGTCTCTCTTTCAGCAGAGAGCTCTCCCTGCGGTTGCTGCTGCTGCTGTCCACGCGTTGCGCTGTGTGCGTCACGTCTCGGCTTTAAGTCGAGATGCTCTGGGCAATGGGGCTTGGCCGCATTTGAAAGACACCTGACGGTCACCAGCGCTCGCTCTCAACGGACAGACAAGAAAGTGACCAATCGAACATCCGAAGGGTCCTGAGGACATTCCCTTCGTTGCCCACGGCGCGTTTTCGGACATGGGACGCCGTTTTGCTGAACTCTGTACTGCACCGACGTCAGGCAGGGCTACCAAAGGGAAGTGAAGCGGCCCAAACAGGATTTCGGCGACGAAGAAGAGGATAAATGCTCACAGGAAAAGAGGCGCAAATCAGACGGACGACACAGTGAGGGAAGCGCGGCACTTCATTGAGGGGAATTAGGAAGGGATGTGATGCGATGCCGAACGGGTTTCACGCCACTCGCGCAAGAGCGCTTCTGGAGGGCCACGCCAGTCGTGCCGAGCACAGTCGCGCCTGTCTGGGCGCTCCCGGCCAGAGCACCAGCAGGCTGTCAGTTCAGGGGGCCACATGCGAACCCTACCCCTACCCCCCACGTTTTCTGGGGGGGGAGGGTGGGGTTCACTCCGTTCGGGAGCTCCCGAGCGAAGTGAACCCCACCCTCCCCCTCAGAAATCGTGTGGGGGGGGGTAGGGTTCGCATGTAGCCCCCTACAGTTCCTCTGGCACCTCGATCGTTCCGCACTGGTCTTGCAGGAACCTACAAAAGCCGAGCCTGCATGCCAGCCATCGGGCTCTTCCTCCTCCTCCGCCTCCTCCTCCTCCTCTTCCCTCCTCCTCCTCCTCCTCCTCCTCCAATTCTGGGGGGGCCCCTGCACTTTTCCGCGTGGGCATTGACCGTTCGCAGGCGCGCCGACGGGTCCACGGGCGGCCCGCGGGAGAGAGAAAGTCCACGCCCGGGCCCGGTTCACAAGCAAGTTTGAGGAGGGGAAAAAACACACAGACACAGTTAATCGGCGATTCCCAAAAAATATAGGAAAATATGGGCAGTGTGGGGGGGAAGACAGAAACCCAGAAAATATGGGAAAATATGTGTAATCTTTCTATTTGTGTGTATTTATTTGTGTGTCCCAGTTTCCCTTCAAAGTTGCAGGAAGATTTGGCGTGGCTCTGGAGGACAACGTCGTGGCTCTAGAGGACATCACCGGGAAGCAGCGTCGTGGCTCTGGAGGACATGACGTGCAGACGTAAACCATGTCGTCGGTGTCCTTGAAGCAAGCGTCTGGGATGACCTCGTCGCGCACGGTCTAGCTAGCTTGGGCGCGCCCTTGACAGCAGGATATCATCGACCCCAGTCGGCCCCTCCCCTGGGGCTCATCCATGGCTGCGGCAGTACGCCAGGTTTTCGCCAAAGTGCCGACACCTTGCGCAGTTGCAAGCGACCGTCGATGGGGAGCACCAAAGTTCGTTTCCGAGTAGCACCGCGTCCCGTTGAACACTTCGGGTGCTCCCGAACAGTTGTGCATGCCCTCTCTCACGTCCGCTTCAGGAGGCCGCAGCTAAAAATCACCCCCCTCATGCGTAAATTTCAAGACTCAGAGAAGCCGAGCCGCAGCCGGGGCCCCTGGGCTATGGCATGCGACTTCTTCAGCAGTGCGAGCAGCTGCCTTCTACGCGTGAGTCACATGGTCTTCGCCGCGCCAGCGCGTCGCGCGCGGCAGTCTGCTCTGGCGCAGCTTGGGCGAGCGTCAATCTGGCCCCAGTGCGGACAGCTGCGAGCACGATGGTTTGATCATGCTTCGCGCGAGCTTCAGCACCTAGCGTGTTTCTGTTGTCATTGGCGAGATGCGCTCGCCCCGGCGCGGGCGCCTGCGCTTGCCCTGCCCAATTCAGTGGGCACTGCAATATTCTGGCTAGGTTTTACGAGACCTCCTTGCTATTCGCCGGCTTGGTTGTTTTGGGTTCTTAGCCTAATCAGGCACCCAGCGGAACTCGAGCTGCAGGCGGGATGTGCCCTCATCCGCTAACGTTTTGTTGAAAGCTGATGAAACATTAGAAAGCCCGATCGACGGCAACGAAAAAAGATGTCCTTCCCCCCTCTCCCGCTCGCCCCGCCGCCCTGGTTCCCTCCCCCGGCACTCGATTCCCCCGTCCGAGAACCGGTCCCGCGGTGCGCGCCCACTCTGCGAGCAATCACTGGAGCTGCGCCCCCTCACGGGCTCGTGGGGCTCTCGCGGGGCGGCCCTGTGCAACGTCGACCAGACAAAGTGGCGCATCCGTCGATAGCCGCACCCGCGCCCGCCCTTCTCGCCCTGCTTCTCCCTCGTCGCCCCGTCGCCCCCAAGACCCCGCGTCCTTTTTGTCCTCTTCGCCCTTCCTCGCCACCAACCATGCGCGATTGGTGAAGTCAGGCAAATTTGTTTGGGATTTTTTGTGACGGGGCAGCATTGTGGGTTTCCGGCTTTTTGCCTCGGCTGTCCCCTGGCTGTCCCGCGGCTGTCCCGTGTTTGTTTTGCGGCTGTCCCGCCGCTGTCCCCCGGCCGTCCCGCGGCCGTCCCGCCCGACGGCCCATTTTGCCTCGGCTGTCCCGCGGCTGTCCCGCGGCTGTTCTGCGGCTGTCCCGCGGCCGCCAGGCGCTGTGCTGGTGCGGTTCGACGCTATGTTGAAGCTCATTCCCACTAGCCCGCAGCATTTGGCGTTGCAGCGGCCAAGCATCATCAGCGCCCCTCTCACGATTGCCGTTCCATTGTGCAATACATAGGCCCGTTTCATTGTCGTTCCTTCTCCTCGTCCTCCTGTTCCTCGTCCCGCTCCCCTCTTCGTCCTTATGTTGTTCCCCTTTTCTGTCGCCTTCGTTCGGCACTTGCCCCTCCTTCCTCCCTCCTCCACCCATCCATGGTGAGGGTTCGCGAGTCGTCGAACATTTGCCCGTCCGTCACATGAGACGAAAAAGTCTCACCAGCCTTCCTGGCGCAGGTGGTTGAGGGCTGCGTGTTTCATGTCCCCGAATTCTCTTCTGGGGAGGGGGTCACCCCGTCGCCGGCCCCCTTTTGCCAGGGGTGTGGACCAGGGTTGCGCTGAGGTGCCAGGCAAGCAGTTTGGGCCCAGGATGGCTCTAAGAGTGCCCGTGGTGTCCCAACATGGCCTGCAAGACGGCGTGACATAGCCTCAAGTGGGCCGATCTTGTTTCTAGCTTGCCACTTTAAAACGTCGGGCGAGCTTTGAAACAGCCCAAGGTGGCCACGGGCTTCCTCTGAACGCTCCCTAGGGGACAACAATTTTGAATTGTTCAAGTGCTTTGAATACTGCTTGTTGTTTGGCTGTTTCGTTTCGTTTCTGACCAGGGCCCGAGAAACAAAAGATCATAGCAATGATGTGTTCCTTTTGCACGGGCCTGCACGCACTAAACACATTTGTGTTTATTTGCGAATGCATGCGCATGCTTCCGTGTGGTTGCGCTCGCGCGCGCGCACTCGCTCACGCCTGTAAGGGCGCTGGCCACTCTGCCCACGACCCCCCGCCGGTTTGTTCCTGGATATTCGTAGCTACATGCGCGTTTTTTGTATTAGTGCACAACTTGCACAACGTTGCGTACCACGTCAAGCCGCGCACTCGTTCATCGATTCTGGGCGACATGCACTTGCGCATGCCCGTGCCGCACCAGCTTTTTGCATGCGCCTGCCTGTGCCCGGCTTGCCCGCAGCCTGCCGCCCGATCACTGTCCTGCTTCGGCCCCCCCTCCGCGCCCCTGCCCCCCCCCCGGCGTCGCCCAGCTCCACGTCCGCGTCCCATTGCGTCGCGAGCCGCTGCCCCGCTGCTGCCCAACATCGTCCCGATGTGTCCCCGCCGCCGCTTCCTGGGCTTCGCCCGCTCCTGGCCGCGTGAGGCCCCGCCTCCGTCCGCCCTCTCTTTGCTGATGAAAGCTGTGCGCGTCCCGCTTAGCTTTCAGCGGAAGAGGTTCGCTCTCGCCCGGCAGATCAAAAAGTCCCCGTCTCTGTGCAGCCGCAGCGCCGCCGGGTGTGCGGCCGCCCTCGACCGCGCTGCCGCGGCTGCCCCTCCCCTTGCTTCGCTGCTTCGGGGTTCTTTTGTCGCGGCGCCTGGCCTGCGGCAGTCCCGCCCCGCCTGCTTCCAGTGCGCAGGGGGGGGTCGCCTCGACGGACGCACGCCACGGCCTCCTCGCGTTCGTCCTCGCCTCAGCCGTTGCCCTCTTACGGGTTCAGGAGCTGACGCGGAGAGTCTCCTCGCCTCGGAGGAGAAGCACCTCTCGCTTTCGGCCTGCGCCGCACGGGCGGGCCGGGCCCCTTTTCATCCTTCCCTCCTCACGCAGATTCGGCGGACGGCTGCGCAGCTGGAAGCGCCCAGGGCGGGAAGAAGCATGGCGGATCCGCGTCGCGCTGTTTTCCTTTGGATCCCCAACGGGGTAACGAAAGCGCCGGCAGCTGGCCATGTAGTAGCAGCACCCAGGGACATGTCCAACAATCAGGACAAAAGCAAAACCGCGCCTTCTAGGACTTCCCCGTATAACACCACATTGCTAGCAACCGCGCGGAATAGTAGTTCGGAATTGTGTGGCACAGGGTTGCGCTGTAGGCAGCCATCTGGGAGGAACCAGTAGCTTTGCTCCGCGTAGATCCGCATTCTCGCTGCATGGAAGCGCTGACCATGGCGCAGCGGGCAGCGTTCAGGGAGGGAATCGTAGTTGGGTTCCGCAGAGCACCGCGCTCCGCTGGACCGCCCAGGAACACACTAAAATGCAGACTGTTTCGCAGTTGGCAGCTCATCCAGCGGGAATCCATACTTGGGATCCGCGTGGCACCGATGCTCGTGGGGTCTCACAGGAGCCCACGGAAGCGACGACCGCTGCCTGGCGAGCAGCGCCCAGGGAGAGGAAACATAATGCGATTCCAAATAGCACCGCATTTCATATTTTTTCCGAGTGGCGCACAGGGCAAGCGCGGAGTTTGCAATTCTCAGGGGCCGGAATAATCGATCGGATTTGCGCGGCATCGCCTCCCGATGGACCTCCCAAGATTTCACGAAAGTGCTCGTGATTGCGCTTTGGCAGCCATCAAGGAGGGAACTCCAGTTTGGCTCAGCGTAGCACCGCGTTCCCGCTGCGCGGAACTGCCCGCTACCGCGCAGCTGGCAGTGCCCCAGAGGGAAGTAATGGCCGGACCCGCGTAGCACCGCACTCCGCAGGATCTCCAACAATCTCGCGAGGAGTTCCGACAGCTTCGCAGTCGGCAGCGCCCAGCACAGGGCGACGCCACGGAAACAAGGGATAAGTCGGGTAGAAAGTAGGAGGGGAAGAGGCAGGCGGAGGAGGAGGGAGGAGCAGCCTCGCTCAACCTCGAGCGAGTGCCCGACCAAAAGGAGGGTCGGAGAGGACAATCCCGAACCTCCTCAGCCCTCGATCCTTTCCCGACCCCGACGCTGTATTTCTTGCCGCGCCGTTGGCCCCCCGCCAGGCTCGACGTCCTCCCAGGGCGCGGCTTCTCATGCCGAGCCGATGTGCGATGGCCCCGGGCCTTTGTGGGCCCCGGAAACGGCAGGGCCGTTTTTTCACCGTTTCCAGAAAAAATGCCCCTTGAACATGGAAACGGCAACAAAAACGGCGACCGGAGACGGCAAAAGAACGGCTCCAGGATTGGAACCGGGGCCGGCGACGGAACCGGTAAAACAACGGCGTCGGAACCGGCGAAAAAACGGCAAAACGGAACCGGTAAAAAACGGCCTTGTCGTTTCCAGGGCCCACTAAGCCCCAGGCCCTGGCGAAGGGCCCCAGGAAGGCCGAGCACGGCCGACAACTCTCTGCCGTGATCTGTGCAGCACTGCGAGGGGGCGGAGGCCTCCCCCGCAGCCCGACTACGCCTCTCCTCCGCCCCGTTGGGCTTCTTTCGATCCGACAGATCTGCTTCGATATCGATATACGGTCGGGTCCCTGAAGAAGGAACCCTTCTCGTTGGGAAGGGGCTCCGTGTTCCTTGATTGTTTCACAGCTTGCCTCAGGTTTCCCTTATGTTTCCGATGGGAAAATCGAAGTTTAACTCATGGAAAAAGGGGGGCCCGTTCCTTATTTCGGGTTCCCAAGGTCAACGCCCCGACTGTACACGCGGTCCGATGTGGCCCGATATTCGCATGGTGCTGTTGTGCACCTTGGCGAGGCCGATCCGAGTCGGTTCTGGCTCCGTGCAGGTGCGGCCCGATCCGACGCGCGTTCTCATGCGATCCAGCTTCCCGGTCCGATGCTGACTGCTCTTGCCCTCCTCCTCCCCCTCCCCCTCCTCCTCCTCCTCCTCCTCCTCCTCCTCCTCCTCCTCCTCCTCCTCCTCCTCCTCCTCCTCCTCCTCCTCCTCCTCCTCCCCTCCCTCCTCCTCCTCCTCCTCCTCCTCCTCCTCCTCCTCCTCCTCCTCCTCCTCCTCCTCCTCCTCCTCCTCCTCCTCCTCCCCCAGGCGTGCTTCGAGGTGCCTGCCGCAGACGGCCGGGTGGGGGGCGTGTTCAGCCAGTGCGTCGTGGAGCTGCTGGCCGAGCACCTGGCCCAGGAGGGGTGGGGGATGCAGGCGACCAGGCCCTGGCTTCTGTTCTTGTCTTCCCGGCCTGACCGGCGTCACCAGGGGAGGGGGGGGGGGGCCCGGTGACGTGACGATTTGCACCCGAATGGTTCGGAGCAGGATTGATGCGGTTCGCAGACCCCGCCGACGTCACTGGGAGGGGAGGGTGGGCAAAGTGACGGCCGCTACGCCGAGTCAGAGGATCGGGGCCTTGAGGATTGGTGCTTTGAAGCCTTTGAGGCCTCTGGGGCCTTGAGGACTCCTCCTCCTCCCGCTCCGGGGCCTTGAGCACTCCTCCTCCTCCTCCTCCTCCTCCCTCCTCCTCCTCCTCCTCCTCCTCCTCCTCCTCCCTCCTCCTCCTCCCCCTCCTCCTCCTCCGCCTCCTCCTCCTCCTCCTCCTCCTCCGTCTCCTCCTGGGCGCTCGAGGCCCGAACGGGGCGTGCGCAGGGCCTGGCCCCATGCGGAGAGGCCTGCAGACCTGAAGGTGACGCGTGTCAGTGGCTTACAGAACCCGCCCCGGACGCTCCGTGCCTCCCCCCCCCCTTAGGCGTCGCGTTATTGGGGGGCGATTATCAGGCGATCGCAAACATGCATCAAGGGGGCGTGGATTTGCGACGGGTCCGCTTTCCATGGGAAGCCGCGGGCTTCCGCCGCCGAGCGGGGCGGCACCGGCCGCATTTTGGGGAGGGCACCTCCCCTGACCCATGGATTTTGCGACCGCGCGCCAAATCCATGGATCGCTAATCCATGTTTGCGCGCCCCCCCTCCCCATTGGGCGTCGCGTAGGGGGGGGGGGGGGGGGGGGGGGGGGGCGATTCGTGGGAAACCAGCGAGGGCTGCAGAAAAGGGGCCCTCTAGGGCTAGCCTAACTAGAGGTGCCCTTTAGGGCCCCAAAAGGGCCCTTTAGGGCCCCTCTTGGGGGGCACTTTTCTTCCCCCCCCCAAGTACCGCCCCCCCACGAAGCGTCGCCCGACCCCTAGCCCCTCCCCAGGCTCGGCCACGTGCAGAGGGGGGCAGGGGGAGAGGGGAAGGCTTCTCGGCAGCACCCCTGCTTCTCCGAGGGCGCGGAGCACGGCTGCAGGTGCAGGGCCGGCGCCTCCTACGAAGCAGGCTCCCTCGAAGAGGCCTTCCCCTTCACCCTTGTGCGCGCCGCCAGCACGCTCCTCGCGTTGGTGCCTCGTCCTCTCCTTCGCCTCCTCGCTCCGCGCCGCGCCTCTCCGTGCCCGGCCGCCTCCCCCCCGCCCCGCGTCCCGTCTGGCCCCTATATTCCCTGCGCCCAGTCCGTCTGGGGCCGCCGCGCCCGCCTGGGCCGCCCGGCCAGGCCACGTCTGGGATCCCCGAGGCTCGGAAGCCGGGCAAGGGCTGCCAAATCCGTGGCTGCTGAAATCGACTTCCTAAAACGACGCGAAGATCGGGACAAAATCGGATCGGGATAATTCGAAATCTCTGAGAATCGGCGGGTTTGGAGGATGTATTGGGCGCCGCGGCCGCTCCAGAGCGTTTCGGAACGCTCTGAGAGCGCTCCGGAACGCTCTGGAGCGATTTTTCCCGATCCTGGCCCTGTTCTACCTCCGGGAAATTGTCTTCGTCCTTCCGGGAAGAAGCCCGTTGACTGTGTCGCGTGCCGCGCCTCATTCCGGGAAGTTGTTTTTCCCTCCGGGAGGGCCGTTTTAGCAGACACGGTTCTAGCAGCCCTCGCCCAGCTTTCGGGAGGCGCCCGGGCTGTCTTGGCAGGCTGGGCCGCCCTGGGCATCCGAGCTGCAACAGCCGGCCAGCGCAACTGGTCGGCCAAGGCCGCAGCGGGGCGAATGAAGCAGGACATCCTTGGATCAAGGGCCTTCCCCGAGCTCATCGGAGACCCCGGCAGTAATTACGTTGGCCACCTTGGCTGCTCGTGGTACTTGTTCTGCGTGGGCCACTTCGGCGCTTAACCGACAGCATCGCGTCGGGCCGTCAGTGCACCGCCAGCGGAACGCTAATTACCTGGTAGGCAACCCTTCTGGTGATAAGGAGGTTGGGTTGGGCTCAGGAGCTGCTTGGTTTTGCGTGCTGCCGCAATGGCTTGCCTAGAAGCCACGAAACAGTCTGCAGAACAACCCACGCGACATCGCACTGGACAACCCACAGGACAACCTGCGGGACAACCCACGGGCCAACCCATGGGAAAGCGTACGGGACAACACACGGGACAACGCGCGGGACAACCCACGGGGCAAGGCACTGGACAACCCGCGGGACAGCCCACACGAGACAACCCACGGGACAGCCATGTGGGCAACCGCTTTTCCGAGACACGTCCACCGACAGTCGTTTCACCAGTGCTGGTCTCCTTCCAAGACAGCCCAAGGCGTCCCCAAGTCTGTCCAAGACGACTACGAAAACAGCGATAGACGACAACGATCACAACGATCATATCGATCAACGGTCAATGCTATCACAACGATCACAACGATCAACAGTCATAATCATTGTACCGTCATCGTTATCCTGGTCGCATGCAACATCGGTCCCGTCGCATGTCGGCGCGGTGATGTTGAGACGACCCTGGGACTGACTCCGCCACCACGCGCGAACCCTGCAGGGCCTGGGGTACGGGACACTCCCACGGGGACTCACTGCGGGAGCCCTGAGACGGGGGTCAGTGCAAACGGGGGTCAGCCAGAGCGCGTGATCTGGCAGGATCCTGCACCGCCAGGGGTGCACTGTTACCGCGCAGGATCCTGCAGGGTCTTGCAGGACCCTGCACAGCCCGACTGGCCCGGGTTTGGCTTGACCTGGGTCGGTGCCTCCCTGATCTTGCCGTGTGGTAAGGGGGGGGGACCTGCACGGGGGCGCTGTAGAAAAGGGCTCTGTCCCCTGGAGATCTGAGCCCCCGGGCCGACGTTTCGGAAGTCCTGACCTGCAGGGGCACGCGGTTCACGCGTGGGTTCGGGGCCGTGCGCCCGCGGGGGCGCGCCGAGGCCAGCCTCCGGGGGCAACGCTTGGGGGGGGCACTGGCGCGGGGGGGCGCATCTCAGAGGAGGAACAGGTATCGATACCGCTGACCTGCCCTCGTTTTCCCCTTCTTGGGGGCTTTCTGGGCGGCCCGCGTCGCCACCGCTGGAGCCGCTTCGAAGTTCTGGTCAGAGCGCACCGCGGGAGAGGCCCTGGGAGTAGCGGTATCGGTACGTTTCGGTGTCCCCAGCATCGACCCCCCCATCGCCCACGCGTATCGTCGATGGGGAGCACACCCCGCACGGGAACCCGCACATTCGTTATCCGGGGCCCATTGCCGATCTATCGGCGATGCATCGCCGATTCCAGCCCGGCGTGCTCCCCCTGTCCCCCCCCCTCGCGTTGCCTCTCGGTGCTGAGGCCACCAGGGGCCACCACCGGGGGCCGTCCATGTGCCACCCCGCGCGCGCCTTGCCATAGCAGCAAGGAGGACGAGATGCTCCGCGTCGCCCCACCAGCATATCCAGAAACGATGCCCAGGCGATCTGCCCTGATCAGTGATGTGGAGGAACACGCAGAGGAAGAATAGGTTGGGGAAGCCGTCGTTCCCCTGAGATCTGGAAGGGTGGAGGAGGAATCGGAAGAGGAGGGAGGGGGAGGGGAACAAGGTCGGTGCGCTGACGCCTCATCTGATTTCCTACCTCTACCTCGCATCGCTTCCCACTGCGCTAATGGTTTGTCTTCTCACGGAATCGGATCCCAAACTATTTGTGGCGCTTTCTTTTCTCAAGAGTTGAGCGGTTTTCCATCTTCTTTCATCTTTAGGGGGCAGGTGGACGCCCAATTCATGTTCACCGACTTCCTACTTCATGGTTCCACCCACTTATTCCGACAGATGGGTATCGAATCATACCCTCATGCCAAGATGAGTCAGAGCGGGCCAAGAAGCCTTGACACGCAGATCGATGCCGAGGCTTCGAAGTGGCTTCGACGCAGAGGTAAGGGAGGGACCACCTTTGACACGGACCGCGACTGCGCATGCGAGGCCAAGGCTGCAGCGGAACGGCACAGCGGGTCCACTATTCAATAGGGCCAAAAGCCGCAGATTGAGGTTAACGCGACAGCGGGACCTCCGCCAGTGTTGTAGTGGGGGCGCCATGTTGGAAGGACCAGGAGCGCAGAAATAGTGCCAGCGTTGTGGCAAGAGCGCCTTTTTTGGAAGGAGCACAACACACAAATTGGAGCAGCACCAGAAAAAGCCCGCCCGAGCAAATCATGCATGCGAAGCACCAGTGCGTGGAGGGATCACGTTCCGAAAACACGTAAGAGCACGTCGCTCGCGCAAAGCATTCATTGACAAACAAATCATCAGCGGAGGGGGGCGGCCATTCTCAGAACACATTTGACGGAGAGAGGAGAGAGTCGTACTCATATCGTGCAAATGTATGCTGTGTAATTTTTAGAGGGCAGGGGGAGGAGGATGAGAACTGGGCGGACGAGGAAGAAGAGCAGGAACATCGCTTGGCTGAGGAGGACGGCTAGGGGTTGGTCGGGCCGACCCCGACCCGAAACCTTCAGGCTCCAGGCCAACGATCCCTCCGCCACGATTTCACACCATCGCGGCGACCGGAGGGCGCGGTGCCTCCCGGCTCGGGAAGACTTTTCTTAACCGGCCGCCTCTGCTTGCTCGCTGTGGGCCTCTGCCACCAGTTGAGCAAGTCTGCTGGGTGGCAAACCTAGGGGGCCACGTGCGAACCCTACCCCCACCCCCCACGATTTCTGAGGGGGAGGGTGGGGTTCACTTCGCTAGGGAGCTCCCGAGCGGAGTGAACCCCACCCTCCTCCTCAGAAAACGTGGGGGTAGGGGTAGGGTTCGCATGTGGCCCCCTAAAACCTGAGCACGATCGGACTCTTGGCGGCACTCGTGGGGTGGCTGCCCGAACACGCACGTTGGAGTTGCAGCGTGGCTCCACTGTGAGGCTGCGGGGGAGGGGGGAAGAGGCTGCACTGGCCCTGCAGGACCCGAGATCTACGTTGCCTGAGAGACCCGCACCGATGGCACGCCAGGGCGCTCGCAGGCTGCACCATGTGTTCCTAGTGCCGAAGGTCATGGCCGCGAGAGTCCTGGACGAGCCCTGCGAGAGACGCACAACATCCAGGGCGATCCTGCTCGTCAATTCTCCCTTGCTTGGGCGTCATGCTCGAAGCTACAAGTCAAGGGGCAGCACCAACCATTGGCAAAAACGCAGACTGACGGGGCCTCCCAGGCTCTCCAGGGACCTCAGGGGCAGGAGATGGAGGAGGTCAGGAGGGAAAAAACACACAGACACAATCAATCGTCGATTCCCCAGAAAATATTGAAAAATATTGGAAGTGGGGGGGAAGACAGAAACCCAAAAAATATGGGAAAATATGAGGAATCATCTTATTCGTGTGTATTTATTTGTGTGTCCCAGGGCCCCTTCAGGAGGAGGGGGCCCGGAGCCACGGGCCGAGGAGGAGCCCAGGGGGTCCCAGGATGCCCGGGCGAGCCAGCGCCAGAGGGGGGGGGAGAGAGGCTCCTCTCAAGCCTGGCGAGCGCCTCGTGGCGACGGGGGCGCTCTCGCGGGCCACTCTCCAAGGGGCGCTGCCAGCGTACAGTCGGGGCCCTGAAGAAGGAACCCTTTTCGTTGGGGAGGGGCTCCGTGTTCCTCGATTGTTTCACAGCTTGCCTCAGGTTTCCCTTCTGCTTTCGACGGGAAACCGAAGTTTCACTTCTGGAAAGTAGGGGCCTCGTTCCTTCTTTAGGGTTCCTTAGGTCAATGCCCCGACTGTAGCCGAGGCACGTCTTCGAGCAGGCCGGGGCCCGCCTGGGACTGCTCGACGTCTGCGGTGCGAGGGCGGCTGCCGAGTTCCGATGGCGGCCTGCGCTGCTCGGGCTGCGGCCTCGCCGCCGCGGGCGGTGCGGCCGCCGTCGCTGCCGACGGGCAGGGGTTCGGGCGAGGGCCTGGTGGGCCCTTGGCCTGCTGGAGGCGCTCCCCGAGGCGGACACGCCCCCCTCCCGCCAGAGCTTCGGACCCCGCCCATCGATTGCGCCCTTCGCAGGCCTAGAGATTGACACCAACACCAATGTCGGCGGAGTGCCTCCACCTAGGGAAGAACGATCCCGATCTCGGTGATGGTGGTAGTGTTCTGGCTTCCTAGGTGCCCCAACAATTGCCACCAACACCGAAATTCGGGATCATCTTCCTCCCGTGGAGGCAACCCCTGGTGCTGGTGTTGGTGTCCATTTCCAAGCTTCCAAGCCTTGGGTACCCCGAGGCGCCGTACAGCTGGAGCACCTCCTGTGAGATCCAGTTTGGAAGATCGCTCTTGACGTGGGGGTGAGGCGGCCAGCTGCGACGGCGGCAAGGTGTTCCGCAGCCCCCGAGCTTTGGATGAGGAGGTCTCCGACACCCCCACTGCAAACCGCAAACATTTCTCCAGCCCTCATGCGAACCACAGCATACTCCGCGACGTTGGAACGCATGTGACAACTGCAGGTGCCGCTGCCGTCTGGGAGCACACCTCCCTGAAACGCGTCTTCGGGACTTACATCGGGATCCTGGCACCCGGAACACCCCGCCTCCAGGCCGGTGGCATCAGGAGGGTCGCCGAACAAATCAGGCCGAATTTGAAACCCAAGGTGCAACGGGGAGGCATCAGGGATCGGACCTCTAAGCCTCTGAAACTCCTCACCAGTGCATGTATCCCTGGCACTCTCGGTCCTGGGGCACTCAATGAGGCTATGTCGGAGGTCGTCCCAATGGTGGCCACAGGGGCATCGGAGGGGGACGTCATGTCTTGCAGCAAGGGCTCTTTCCGTGGTCCATGTGCTCCGAGTGGCGCAAGCGAGCAGCGTCCCCCGTTGCTGCGTGGACAGGTCGGGGGCGGCGAGCACGGCCCTGACGGCCGACGCGTTGAGGCTGTCATCCGAGAGCCCGAGCTTGCGGGCAGCTCGGGCCAGCTTGCTGTTCGTGCCAGGCCACCTCTGGTAGCCTGGCGGTGAAGGCGGGGGAGGTTTTTGGGAGAGGGTGCGCAAGTCCTGTAGGGCTCGCGAACTTGAAGGGCCCCTGGGAGTTCCAGCCAACTCGGGTTCAGGGAAAGGACGGCCACGCTCAGGGGGCCGTACGAGACTCCCAGGATTTGGCAGCTCTCGGCAGGATACACTCACCCCATAACCCATAAGCGCAACTGCTAATCACAGCCGAGGTGGGGGTAGTGGCGGCCTCCCAAACCAAACGATGCCACATGAAGGCTGGGCCAAGGCCCGCTTTCCAGAGGAGGTCCTGAAGGATCACGAGGCACGTCTTGGCCCCGCAGCGGGAAGATACCGAGTGCGGGCCTGCTCTAGCACTGTGTTGTTGATGCCATTGACCTCGACTCCGAAAGAGGTGGCAGCAGCGAGTCCCGTATTATACAACTTTTTGCCGTCTCCTCCAGCATGCTCAGCCATCTTGATTATGGTCATACGCTTTCTGATCTTGAAGAGCCCCTCCGAAAGTTGCCGACATGTCCTCACCTCTGGCGCCTGCCAGCCTCAGCCTCGATTCCCAGGTTCGGTCCCGAAGTATCCGTAGATGGATCCGCGAGATCTCCTGAGGCTTTACGTCGCTGCTTCTGGAGATCCTGGCCGGATGCAAAAGCTTGGCTGTTCTTTGACGCGATCTAGCATGTAAATTCAAGCGTGATGCAGCTGGCGAGGTACCTAGATGCCTGTTCAGCTGGCTGATGACTAGGTCATAGCTCTTGGCATGGTACTGCAAGAGGAGATCATCGATAAACATGGCGAGTCGAATGTACTGGTGGGCACTTGTCCACTGATCAAGCGGGGAAAGCACATGGCAGGTGGCCCACCCGCACCCCGCGATAAGGCCCCGCCAGGCCTTGCCCACATGAGCACACACACATCCTACAGCGCCACACGCCTAGAGCTATCAGACTGCGAAGTGATGACACGGAGCAGGCAAACAGGAGTAGGCCGTCCAACATTGGCTTTCGGAGCACTAGGCCTTAGCAGACAACATTTGCATCCGCGGGGGAGGCAGAAGAAGAGGAGGAAGAGGTGGAGGGGGAGGAGGAGGAGGAGGAGGAGGAGGAGGAGGAGGAGGAGGAGAGGAGGACGAGGAGAGAGGAGGAGGAAAAGGTGGAGGAGGAGGAGGAGGAGGAGGAGGAGGAGGAGGAGGAGGAGGAGGAGGCGACGTGGGGGGCAGCAAGCCCTGCGAGCGGGCGCCACGGGCCAAGCTCAGGGTGGCGAGGCACGTCGGGAGCGGTCGCGACTCCTGGGACCCCAGCGGGCCCTGGATATGCCTCCTCCTCCTCCTCCTCCTCTCTCCTCCTCCTCCTCCTCCTCCCTCCTCCTCCTCCCTCCTCCCTCCTTCATCCTCCGCCTCCCTCCTCCTCCTTCATCCTCCGCCTCCTCCTCCTCCTCCTCCATCCTCCTCCTCCTCCTCCTCCTCCTCCTCCTCCTCCTTCTCCTCGTATGGATGCATCTTGGTCCCAAGGGGCCTGCAGATCTGCCACCTGCCGAGTTCCCCGGAGATGGATCACCTAGGCGGCGGTCACAATGCCCAATGGGCCGGGCGGGCACCGAGCTGGAGCCGATCCCGCGCGAGGCAAGGGGTCCTGGGTCGGGGGAGCGTAAGACCCGGGTTTGCCAGGACTCGGGTTCGCCATCCTTTTTTGACGACCGCGCCTCGGATTTTGACGAGGAGGAGTTTCATGGGATGTCTGCAGCGGGAGGCCTCGTCAAAATGCAGGCTCGGCCTCATCATTTTTTTGACGACCTCGTCGGGGATTTCCGAGTCCCCTGTACCCAGGTCTTACGTCCCCCTGACTGGGGGGAGGGGGGTCATGAGGGATGTCGCCTTTTTCAGCCTCACGGGCCGCCCGAAGAGCCCCCGGCGCATTGAAGAGCTGGTCCGAGGGAGGAGACAAGCGCCCAGGGTCGAGGGGCCCGTCTCCGCCGTGCCAGGAGGAGGGCGGAAAGCAGGAGGCGGGAGTCGGGGATACAGTCAACCCGAGTAGTATCCTGGGTAGTCGAAGGCCAGACTGTCAGATTGGATTGGGCCCCCAGGGCCAATCTGGCCCGGCCAAACTGGATGATTTGGGTTATTCGCCAGACTGGATTCGCGTTGACTCCCTCGCCAGATTGCCCCCGTTTGCCAGATTGGGCCTGCCAGATTGGCGCCAGATTGGCTTCGACTACTAGTATCGGGGGCGGAAAAGAGGGGGGTGATGACTAGGGGGGGGGGGGATATCATGGCGGGGGCCATGATATGTCCCCAGATGTTATGGCGCCTCTTCTTCTTCTTATTTCATTACGTCCCTGCCCCCCCCGCTGGGCCGCGCACGTGCCGCCGGTCATGATTTGCACCCCCCCCCCCTCTTGGACACACCCCTCTTGGCCGCTCCCGATAGTAAGGATGAGCGGTTTTCCAAGGCTGCGCCTTGCATCGTTCCCCTTCGGCCCATCCTCGGCGGCCGCTTTCGCTGGCCGCCCCGCTCGCAAAGTGTCGGCATGGCCTTCCAAGGCCTTTGCATCCTCATCGTGCGTCGCTTCTGTACGGGTTGATTGTAATGTTGAGCACGGAGCACGGTGCGCCAAAGCGCCGGTGCGGAAGGGGACGCTGCCAACTTACGTGCAGCTCGCGAAGTCCGTCGAGGACGGCGCCGCCCGAGGGTGCAGCGTCGGATGGGACACATGTTTTGAGAACCTGCGGGCGCCAGATCCTGCACGGCGGTGGCGGTCGGTATGGTGTGTGGCGGAGGCGTTGGCCAAGCTCGCTCTTCTGAGTGCCAGGCACCATGGCGTCCCTCCACGGGCAAGCACCATCGTAGTGCTGCGTCACGTTCCACGGGTACCATCGCATCCCTGCTTCTCGGCACATCCTGACCATCGGGGCCCTGGGCCATGGGCTTCCAATTTTGGGCCTCCAAGGGCCTGTCATCTTTTCCGCGCATCCTCATGACCCTGTCGCACCGCATCCTGTCAGAGCGAGCGAGGGTATAACGCATCTGGCTTGGGCCTCCCAGAGCTCTACTGGCGGCCTCCGCGTCTCGCAGGCTTACGGCAGAGCTTCTCGTTTCGGTGTTGCACGTCGCGAGATTTTATGCCGATGCACCAACGCAGCACGATCATCGCAACATTGAGGCCCCAAAGGGAGGCCAGCAAATGCACTACCACAGGCGTGATCGTTGCGATGATCGTGTGCAAGAGGCACGGTGTGCAGCGTCGTTTGAAAATGCATGTTGTCAGGTCGGACTTGTTGATTGCACAGCTGAAATGCATGAAGTTGTGCAAATGCACCCAGGTGTTCGAATGCACGATCGGCCACGAACCGAGCTCTCGTGCAATACAGGACGAGACCGTGTGATCAGCCCAGGCTCGATGACATATCGAACGACAAGTAAGTTCAGATTCCAACACGAAGCGCGCTGCGCGGGTCAGGGACAGATCGTTTGGCTGTTCATGCCCTTCCTATTGCGCTCCTCGTCGTCATTCCACCTCATCCTTCCAATCCTCTGCCATTCTTTGCCCTCTGTCTCCGCCTCCTCGTCGTCCTCCCCCATTCCTTGTTTCCGTCCTTCGCATCCCCCCGACTCCCTTTCTCATTCTTCTCCATGATCTGGCTCGCATCGCGTCTTCAGCTCCCGTTCCTGCCCTTGTGCTTGTGCGTGCTAGTTGTCCTTCTCTTGACGCTTCTGCCATCCATGCTCGTTCCACTCCGCCCTCTCGATATTTGCTTCTCCGTCCCAACGCTTCTGCCTTTTCTCCTGCTCTTGTTTGCTTCCCCCGCCTCCCCACCTGCTCCGCCCGAAACACGGCTCCTGCTCTCTCTCTTGCGGGTGCTCTCTCCCCCCCTCCTGCTCCGCCCTCCGCGTCCTCCTCGGCGTCCTCGCCCCCCTCCTCCCCCCGGGGCCCCGCCGCGCGAGAGAGAGCAGCCCGAGGAGCGCGTGCAGCGCCGCTTCCACGAGCGCGGCCTCGCCGAGAGGCAGCTTGCGACCGCCCCCCGCGGGCCGCGGCCGGGGCCAGCCGGCAGCTCGCAAGCGTCAGGAGGGAAAAAACACACAGACACAGTTAATCGTCGATTCCCCAGAAATATGAGAAAATATGGGAAGTGGGGGGGAAGACAAAAACCCCAGAAAATATGAGAAAATATGGGGAATGCTTTCATTTGTGTGTATTTATTTGTGTGTGTCCCAGGGCCCCTTCAAAGCGGCGGGGGCAGGAGGCGGCAGGAGGCTGGAACCGTCTGTGGGCCTCGGGTGGCCCAGCACTGGTTCTGGCCAGCGAGGAGGGCGGGCAGGCTCGAGGCGCTGGGTTCTGGAAGGCGCTTCGCCCTTCTCGGTCTCCAGGGGCCGTTTTCTTCGGGCGTGAGAGCTCGATCCGGGGCGAAGGCAGCGCCAGATGGGCCCCAGGAGGGGTTCAGGGACCGATGTTGAGCGAATTCGGCTTCAGCCGCCTCCTGGCCGCTTTTCTAAGAGTCCCAGCCAGTTCAGGCCGCCTTGCCGCCTCCGAGCAGGAGGCTTGCCCTGGAGGGCGGACGGCCTGGAGGGAATCCGACGCCAGGCTTTGTGCACAGCCACCGCTTGGGGGGATCGATCGTTGTCCACAACCACCGCTTGGGGGATCGATCTCTGGGAACAGCGGCAGGCTGTTGATGTGGATGTCGTCGGGGCGCTGGGGCCAACCGCTCGCCGAGGTCCCACGGGGTGTCGGTGCCACGGGTGGTGGGTATGGACATCGTACCCGATGCTGCAAGAAGTGGACGTCTTCGATGCTGCAGCGAGGCTTGGAGGCCCAGCGAGCGGGCCGATCTCGCCCCCTTCCCGCCGCTCCTGCCACTGCAGCTTCTGGCAAAGCCCTCGGCCGAGCGGGAAGGTGACCCCTCACCGTGCACTCCATGGATGAACTCGTGAGCTCTCGGAGGGCCCTGGGAAGTAGCAGAGTGCACCGGGAATCCGTAGCTTTTTGGGCTCAAGACGAGCCCTGCCCCCCGCCCTTCACTGCAGCGCCATGTAGTGGCTCCGCGGGATGGCGGCGGCCACCGCCCGCCTCGCCGCCGTGGCCCTCGCGACGCACGCGGCCTCCGCCGCCGCCGGGGCCCACCGCCCGGCCACCGCGGCGGCCGCGAGGCCGTTGGCGGGCGAGGCGCCCGCCCTGCAGCAGCACCACGCCGCGGGGGCGGCGCGCGCGGACGGGCGCGAGCCCGGCGACAAGTTCGACTTCGAGTACCGGGAGAGCGGGACCAACCTGCGAACTTCGGCCACCTTCGCGGCGAACCTGTGGAGGGGCGCGAGCAGGGCCTATGACTTCCGCCACATGGACGACCTGGAGCCGGTCGCTCCCATGGACCGGCTGGCCCCCGACGGATCTGACGAGGTCGTGGACGTGCCGGGCGCGCACCGGCACGCGCTCTACGTGCCGCCGTACATGAACCCCGACTCCTTCCCCACGGTGTCTGGGCCGAGCTGCGACTGCGAGAGGTCCGAGCCGGCGCCGCTGACGCCCTCAGAGATGGAGTGGGCGAGGATCGTGGCAGACCAGCTGGGCGTGCCCGTGGACAAGCTCCCGAGGGGAGGCGCGAACAAGTGCTCGTGCGACAACAGCACGGGCTCCGAGGTGTACCACTGGGCCAACCTGGATCCTATCAAAGGAGGCACGGGCTACAGGATCTCCCCTGCGGACGTCACCTACGCCTCAGGCGACTACTGGGAGCCGCAGGTGGCACCTGGCGGCGTCGTTGCGCCCGAGGACAGACTGCCCAAGGACCACTACCCGATCCAGGCGCGGTCCGACAGGATCTCGCCGCTGCCCACCACGGCCCTCGAGGACAAGATCGGCGTGCGCTTCGCCCGCTACATTGACCAGCTCGAGGCCCGCCGCGCGAAGTGCGACGACTCCTCCCCCGAGTGCACGACGCCGTGCAAGGCCGGGGACCAGGTCGTGCTGGCGATGGGCAACAGAGCGCTCAACGCCACCGTGGTGTCGCTGCATCTCGCGCGGCGCGTGCGCGTGGAGTTCGTGCCTCCCAGCCTGTCTCCCGAGCCCGCCGTGGGCGGCGGCGCCGCGTGCCTGGTCGCCGCGGGCTGCGACCCGTTCCGCTTCTGCCTGGGCGCGGCGGGCGGCGACGGCAGCAGCGCCGGCCTGTGCGTGGAGCCCAGGGGCGTGTCGTCCCAGGGGCTCCGCGGCGCGCTGCGCCGCTCCCTCGCCTGCCCGCGCGGCACCGCGCCGTGCGCCACCGTGCAGCAGGACGTGGCGGCGAGCCGGCTGCGCAGGGGCGGCCGGGCCTGCGCGCCTCTCGCAAGCGACCCCGCCGCGGCCTGAGAGCGAGCGCGCGCGCTGGCGCGCGGGGCGGATCGCGGCTGCCTGGGGCGGCGCTGGCCGCAACACACCAGCTCACAACAGACGCCCGATCCCGAAAACGCGAGGGCCCGAACAGAGCGCAGGCTCCTCGATTTCGAGGAGGGAGACTTCGGGGTGGGGCTTCACCGGGGGGGGGCAGACAACGGCGGACGCAGACCACACCCCGAAATCTTTACCCAATTGTCGAGTCCCCGGTGAGGGAATGTGTGTTTTCTTGGCCCAGCAACGCCACGGAAGGGCGCGAGGCGCTCTGGCCGGAACCCCCCAAAAAGTGTACCCGGTGTGTCTGTTACATCCCCGCCTCGTTGGGAAGACGGTGAGCTCTGTGGATGGCGGGGCCCCAGCTCCACGCGAGCTCTCTCTCAACCCCCTATGGCCAGGGAGTGCCAGGATTGCAGCTCGCCATCACAACAGTGACCAAACCGGGCCGTGAGCTCAGAACATTTTGAGAAGCAGATCGCGAGACCTACGATCTAACCGCTCTCGACGCGTTTCAGAAATGGGTTCAACTCCGGGCTCTTTTAGGCCGTCGCCTCCTCACCCTCTGTCCTCCTCCTCCTCCTCCTCCTCCTCCTCCTCCTCCTCCTCCTCCTCTTCCTCATCAGAGTCCTCAGGGTCCTCCTCCTCCTCCTCCTCCTCCTCCTCCTCCTCCTCCTCCTCCTCCCCTTTCTTCCTTCCGCAGCGCCACTCGGCGATCCCAAGCCGCAACGTCCCGCCGTGCCTGCCCGGTCGCCTGAGCTAGCGCTGCTACCGTCGCGGACCAACGCGCTCCGACGTGGGTTGGTTTCCAGGAGGGGGGGAGGAGGAAGGGAGGGCAACCAGACTTTCATCTCTCAAGAGCGGGTGTGAGGGAGAGGCCTCGCCGCCGTGCATCGTTGCGCAAGCGGTGGCCTTTGAGCTGTCGTCGATCACAGTGATGACGAAATGGCAGGACCAGGCTTTACCGTCCGTCAGCTTCCGCGAGCTTCAAACGGCTTCGCGCAAAAGGAGGACGGATGCGTCACAGTGCGAAGTATTTCAAGGCAGTTCTTACGACGAGACCCTGGGGCGAAGCAATAAAAACACTGTTTGGGTCCGCGCTGAAACAATACGCTGGATGTTGTGCTACTAATTGAGATGCTACTCGCTGGATGGCTCAGCAGATCTGCAACAGGAAGGTGTCTGTGCCAATCTCGCCAAGGTGTGCGAAGAAGAGGCTGGGGCCTTCACTGACGCCTGCAGTCTGATCGTATAGGCTGTCGAAGACATGGATGTTCGCTCTGAGGTCAGCGCAGCCCTGCTGGAGGGCAGAGTGCATGAACCTTCATGCAAAAGCCTCTTTCGCGGTGTCGGGTCCGAGTAGTTCCAGATTCTCGGGCTTGATGGACATGTCTTGTCATAGTGGCTCTTTCTTTGGAGACGAAAAGGGGCGCGCGCCGAAATCCATTCCAGACGAAATTGAGGTTTTTCTTAAAGTTTCAGTGTGCAGGCGCGCCCTGCCGCGCGGTGGTTCCCAGACGCACCTTAGAGCGTGCTGGCGTATAATGCGAGGCATTCACATTGCACGTTGCGCATGCTATCGCGTGCAAATCACGCATGGCTTGAGCTACTTCGCAGACGCTTTCTGGCGAGGCCCTTCGAGGGCCCTCTCAGGGCCCGCCGGGGTCGCCGAGTGCCGCGAGCTTCCGGCAGCCATTGTCGACAGTTGGCAAAACCAACGTCGCCGAAATGGTCGCCGAAAGAGCCGTCGAAAGGGCCGCCGAGATTGCCGCCGAAGGAGCCGCCGAAAAAGCCGTCTGAAGGGCAGCCAGAATTGCCGCCGAAAGGGCCGCCGAAATTGCCGCCGAAATCGCCACCGAAATTGCCGCCGAAATTGCCGCCGAAATTGCCGCCGAAATTCCAGATGGTTCCGCCGAGAACAGACCGAATTTGACCTTGGCTGTGGCTCTATGCCTATGTCTGCGGCGTCATCGCGCTTACTGGAACAGCGATTTCGCTTGCGACGGGGCAATGAAAATTTCGGCGGCTGAATTTCGGCGGCGATTTCGGCGGCTGAATTCCGGCGGCTATTTTGGCGGAGTTCGCAATATTTCGGCGGCAATTTCGGCGGCAAGTTCGGCGGCAAGTTCGGCGGCAAGTTCGGCGGCAATTTCGGCGGCAATTTCGGCGGCGATTTCGGCGGCAATTTCGGCGGCAATTTCGGCGGCGACTTCGGCGACGATTTCGGCGGCCCTTTCGGCGGCCCTCCTGGCGGCCCTTTCAAGGACCATTTCGGCGGTTTTGCTTTTGACAGCTGTCGACGAATGCTGCTGGGAGCTCGCGGCGCTCAGCTTCGGTAGAGAGTCGATGTGCGGCGACGCAGACTGACCTGACCTCAGCCCGACGATGATTGTAACATTTGTTATCTTGTGGTTTTGGCGGTGATGATGGCGACGGCCGCGGTAATGTTTGGTTCAACATGGATGCTCGTCAGGGGGCATTACAGGCTGGCCTACGCGCCCAGCACTGCATGCTTTCAAACAAGAAAAATGTGTCGCGCAACTCCTTCGGAATTCGGCGGCTATTTGGGGGGCCGTGGTGGCTCCAAAGGGTTATCCTCGGTGAGTCTTGCTGGCGATCCACTTTGGCTTCCCATCTGTCCTTGTCTGCGTCGAGTATTGCTGGCCCGGCCCTCGAGGCCGTTGAAGTTACGCTGATTCGGAAGGCGCACGATCCAGACCAGGCTTCCTGCGCGCAGTACCCGTCCTCACGACCGTGGCATCCCAGCTGGGGGAGAAAAGGTGTTCTGGCTCGGCTTCCCTTTGCCTTCCTCAGATTCCTCCTCCTCCTCCTCCTGCTGCTGCTCCTCCTCCTCCTCCTTCTCTTTCTCCTCCTCCTCCTCCTCCTCCTTCTCCTCCTCCTCCTTCTCCTCCTCCTGCTCCTGCTGCTGCTCCTCAGATTCCCGTTGCATGCTCTGCTGCTGCTCCTCCTCCTCCTCCTCCTCCGCCCGCCTGCCCCTCGTGGTGGCCGCGCAGCCCAGTCGACCGAGAACGTACACATATCGCGATCGTAAAGCAGAGCAGCCAGGTCCCCAGACCTCCTCGAGTCGTGAAAAAATCACGACGGGAGGTTTTTCGCTATTTTCGGCCTCTGGGGGCCCTCACCGGGCCTCGGGACCGTCAAAAAACGACTCGGGATGAACAACCGGTCCCAGGGAAGGGGTCCGGACCTTTGGGGGCCGCGTCATGAAAAAATCATGACGTCGGTGGTCTGGGTCCGCAGACAGGGTTCCGATATCGCATATCGCCAGGGCTGCGCTCGCTGCTCGTTGCTCGCGAGGCTCGCGGCAGCACCCTGATAGCTCATGGCGTCGGGCTCGTGCTTCGCGTCACCTCCCGCGCAGCTAATGCCGTCGGGCTCGTGCTTCGCGGCGACACCCTCGTAGCCGATGGCCAGTGGGTTCGTGCGTCGCGCCACCTCCCTCGTAGCCGGTGGCGTCGGGCTCTCGCTTCGCGGGACCGCCCGCATTGCTGACGACGTTAGACTTGTGTTTCGCGCCACCTCCCTCGTGGCTGGCGGCTTTCTGGCTCGTGCTTCGCAACGCCACCCTTGCAGCTGATGATGTCGGGTTTGCGTTTCGTCGTGCCACTCTCGTAGCTAGTGGTATCGGGCTCGCGCTTCTCTGCGCCGCTCTTGTGACTGATGACGTCGGGCGAATGCTGCACTTCACCACCCTCGTAGCTGATGACGGTGGGCTCGTGCTTCGCTGTACCTCTCCAATAGCTAATGGCATCGGGCTCGTGGTTCTCTGCGCCACCCTCGTAGCTGATGGGATCGGACTCGTGCTGCGCGTCACCACCCTCGTAGCTGATGACGTTGGGGTCGTGCTTTGCTGTGCCACTCTCGTAGCTCATGGAGTCGGGCTCGTGCTGCGCGTCACCACCCTCGCAGCCGATGACGCCAGGCTCGTGGTTCGTGTTGCCGGCCTCGTAGCTGATGCTCGTGGGCATGGTAGCTGCCACTTCCTGCCTGCCACTGCTGCCACTGCCTGCCACTCTCGCCCTTTCTCGCACGTTGTTCTGGCTGCCACTGCCGCCTCTCTCGCAGGATGCCTGAGCTGCCCCTCCGTCCCTTCTCGCACAGCCACTACCGCCCCTTCTCGCACGCAACGCGCTGGGACTGTAGGCAGCGACTTCCTTCCACTGCCACTGCGATCTCTCACATCCACCCTTCTCCCCTCCTGGCGGAGGGGGTCGTGGGGCGGGCCTGGCTTGGCTTCACCTCCATCCGCCACTGCCGCCCCTATCTGAAAGCACCGCTGCGGGCCCGCAGCGGATGCAGTGCACGCAGCAGTTGCTTTTCGCACGCTGTGGCTCTGGCATGTGTTTTCCTACATGTTCGGGGCGCTCAGTACCGTCCCCAGAATTGGACATTGTCATGCCACTGCTGCCGTTGCTGGTCATACTGCGTCCGTGGCTGCCGATGTTGCACCTCCTCAGGCGGCCATCCCTGACGGCTCCGCCTTTTCTCTCCGTTCCTGCAGATCGCCAGGGTCCCGCTGCTGCTCCTGCAGCGTGGCGCCCAGGGCCCGTTGGCTCGCGCCTTCTGCTTGGCCCCGTGGGCGAGGCGCGCCCCTTATAGGCCCAGAGCGCGCGCGCCGTGCCGAGGCCGCAGGCTCCTCCTGGCCGAGGCGCCCGGCGGGCCCGGGCCAGCCACCCCGGAGGTGGGGCTCGCGCGGGCGGGCCAGGGAAACGAACAATGACCCTGATCTTCCAGGAGGGCTGAAAAAATAGCACCAGGACCTCGATGCCTTAATTCCCGTCGAGGTTTTAGGCAGCCCAGATAGGTCTATAGGTCTGGAGGGCTATTTTTTAGCACTCTGGGAGGTCAGGGGATAGAAACATCAAAGGTCGGAGGTCCGCGCGGATGTCTCGGATCGGCGCCGAGGTCCCCTAGGCGGCGCCTCCGGCGCCGCCCCTGGCGCGCTCCGCGCGCCAGGGAGGGGGGGTTTCCAGCGCGGATCCAAGACGTCCTCGCGGACCTCCGAGTTTTGATGTTTCTGTCACTTTTTCGTTCCCCTGCGGGCGCGGCGCCGGGGGCGCGAGCG